TGTATTTAAAAAATATTTCTTTGTACTGTTCCAACTTTTCTGTAAGTTTGTGACGGTATGAGCTTTTACAAAATTCGAAACTTAACAAATATATTCATAATATGCACTATAAAATAGAGAAGCATGGTTTAACTATCTTATGATAGCAAAGAAGAACAGAGACCTGCACAGTTTTGAATGATAAGGAACACCTGCCTATCAACCAAGACCCTATCTTGCATTTTCATAGTTCTTCTCACCATAGGAATCCTTTTACTCATAGTATCTTATGTCACTCCCATGATAACCTTAGATGGTTAGGACTATAATCCTCATCTGACAGAGAGGGGACTCAAACTCAGAGATTGTGAGCAGTAATCAGGACAGTGGAAATGCCGGGTATCTGAGCCAGGTCTCTCTGACTCCATCCCTGCTCTCGATGTGTTCAATGAGCATTTATTTACTGACCACCTACTGTGCGCTGCCTCCTATGCAGCACACAACATAGATAGGTGTCCTCTCTCGTGGAGCTTACAGGCTGCTCTGGGTGTGCAGACGATCTGGATCTACACTCACGAAGCATAAAAACCCCAGCTCTGACCTCTATTTCTCAGCCGATCTAAAAATCCAACCCAGCATTTGTGACAAAGTGCAGTGTTGGCATTCCTTTGTCACAACCCTATTTTTCTTGCAGCATCCTTAGCTCGGCAGCATGCTCCTCGGACATCAGATGCCCATGGAGCCAGTTGAATTGAGTGTAGCAGAGCCCCAAGAGGGGCAGTGGGCTGGGCATGGGGGAAATGCAATGGCTCTTTGGGAAATCCAATGACTCCCACTTTTCACTCACTTGGAAAACACCTTTCTGGCCCTCGCTGGTTTGGCTCAATGGATAGAGCGTCGGCCTGCAGACTGAAGGGTCCCGAGTTCGATTCCTGTCAAGGGCACATGCCTGGGTTGTGGGCTTGATCCCTAGTAGGGGGTGTGCAGGAGGCAACCAATCAATGATTCTCTCTCATCATTGATGTTTCTATCTCTCCCTCTCCCTTCCTCTCTGAAATCAATAAAAAAAATATTTTTTAAAAAATGCCTTTCTGGCTGCAAAACAAAAATCTACTCTGTACTCAACTCCCCACTCAAAGGGCTCACCAGTTAGCAAGGACTTAATAAACGTTCTTGGACAAAGCCTAGCAAAGACCAACAGATAACCCTGATTATGTATCTACTTCCTGTACAGGAATTTATTATGGGTTTTCCACAGGGATCATCTGATCCCTCACAGGAACTCTTGCAGGAGATATTGACTGCTCAGCTCCCCACTGTGTAGGTACAGATAGTTGCCCAGTCGGTGGGAGGGTCAGAATGTGAACCCAGTCCTTTGGCATTGCATCCTTGCTCATTTCTCTACCTAAATTGCCTCTCTTCCCACTAAGCAAACACATAAAGCGACTCAGTTCAAAATCTAAGTTTAGTTTAGCAATTGTAGGTAAGTGAGTGGTCTCGCTGGAAACCTTTCTGTTTCCCCCCTAGAGCTTTTAAGCGAAGTGTAAATTGACTATATGCTTAGGAATTTCCCAGCTCAGGCAGCCTGAAACAATTAGACAGGAGGCCGAGGGAGAGGGAGAGGGAGACAGACCCCAGGCTTGGGAGCCCACATTCCTTTTAAAAGCTTCCCTTCATGTGCTTCCTCAATTGGCTGAAACCCTAGAGGTCTGACTGGCTAACCCACTTCCTCTCAGAAGTGTCTGTCCCCCAGGGGAGCCTGGGATTTGTAGTCTCCAAATCAGCAGACCTTTCCTAATCCTACCCCTGGCTCCCTGGCTGAGGGAGTGCAGTTCAACTTCAGTAGCTTTCTACGTGATGAAGTGTCCGCTGTGCTTTTTGCAAAACACAAAGTTCTTCCTGGATACGAGCTGAAGCCTCTGTTTATTCACCAGAACCCAACCCCCTGGCGTCCCCCCCCACCCCACCCCATTCAGGTTCTTTATGACGTCCCCTCTCCCTCCATTGATACTAAGCACCATTTTACAGCCTCAGGAGGGAGTGCTGGCCACCAGCCCAGCGCTGCTGTGAATGGCAGATCCAGAGCTCTGAGCTCGGTGGGAGCAGGGCAGCCAGGCTCGGGGTTGCTTCCCAACCTGGTGTCTTTTCAATAGTGTTTAAGGTGACATGTTTACAGGATGACTGTTCAAGAACAGATATTAGGGGAAGCAGAGTGTGAAGCCAAGTTCACAGAGGACCTACAGAAAGCATTGCCTTTTGTTTCCTTTTGCTTTGTGTTTTATTTCTTCTCCAAACTTGGCCTGGCAGCACCTTGGCTTAGGCTCTGGCCAGGTAGCTCAGTTGGTTAGAACATCCTCCCCAGATGCCAGGGTTTGCAGGTTCAAGCCCCAGTTAGGGAACATACAAGAATCAACCAACGAATGAACAACAAATAAGTTGGAAAAACAAATCCATGTTTCTCTCTCTCTCTCTCTCTCTCTCTCTCTCTCTCTCTCATCAATAAATAAAATTTTAAGAGAAACAGATATTCCTTTCTGCCCTGGTGTTTTCAAGCCTCTTGATCTCATTTGGTCTAAACACGTCACATCCCATCGGATGGCCCACACTTGCTGCATGACCCATGGACTACATAAACATTGTACCGATTCATTGTTCAAATGCATGGAGATATTCTTGGTTAAGCAAAACGACGATTCGTTTAGGTGTTATTACATTTCTGGTGGTCACTAAACATGTTGCAAAGCAGCAGATATTGAAAATATAGCGTCCTTTGTGTGGGAGTCAACAATGTTTTTTTGACACTAAAAAAATACGACCTCCTGCTCCAAAGGGCTGTCAACTGTGGGGGAGACTGGTTTCCAGAACTGCCCACAGCTGTGGCACGCTTCTCTCTCCTTGGCTCGCACTGTTTGTTAGAACAAATAAACGTCATGGCGTAGGTGCAGAACGCTGGAGTGGGGGAAACACTGAGCCAGAAGCCGGAGGACAAGATCCTTCTTGTCCACTGTGACCAGCCAGCTGGATGCCTCCAGCAAGCCAGTCAATCTTAAACCTGAGCATTGCCACTCCTTCCTCCGCACAAATACCTTTAAGGAGAAAATGGTGTGCTGATCCTGTTAGTGAGTGGAATAGCTTCTTTTTTTTTCTAATATATTTTTATTGATTTCAGAGAGGAAGGGAGAGGGAGAGAGAGACAGAAACATCAATAATGGGAGAGAGAATCATCGACTGGCTGCCTCCTGCATGCCCCCCACTGGCGATTGAGCCCACAACCCCGGGCATGTGCCCTGACTGGGAATCAAACCGTGACCTCCTGGTTCATAGGTCGACGCTCAACCCCTGAGCCACGCCGGCCTAACACATTTTTGAATGGCAGGGTGCAAGTGAAAAAAATTGGAGACCAAGGTTCTGGAGCACATCTCGTTCTGCCTGGGTAGACCTGTTGTCTAGAAGATACTCAGTGTGACCAAGGGAAGATCATAGGGTTACCAATGCTGTGGGTTTAATCCCTCACATCAAGGACTTTCCAAGCCTCATCCCCCCACCCCCTTATAAAATAGAGAAATTGAAAACAAGCTACCTAACAGTGAAGCACTTTGAAGAAAGTTTTTGCCTTGGGAAGAAAAAGGATCTTACAAATCTGCATGGGCCCTATAAAATCCTGGCATGGGACCAGAGGAAGTCGGGCCATCTTTTTTTTTTTAAATCTTTATTGTTAAAAGTATTACAATATGTACCCCTTTTTCACGCATATGTAGAATCTAATGAACAAAACAAACTGTTGAACAAAATAGATCCAGAGACATAGAAGCACGGAACAGGCTAGAAGCTGGGCCATTTGATTCTCTGTTGGAGTATCGGGGGTTGGCCACTTGGGTTTGAGGAGCTTGGTGGATGCAATGGAATGAAGTCTAATGGACAGGGTTCATCCTGAGCCAACCTGTTTGCTTTGTTCCAGTTCTTGGCCACAGACTGTCTATGGCCTTGACTGTCATCCTATAGACCTCTTTCAGGCTGGAAGAAGATTGAAATAACATTAAAAAGAAATCTCTGCAAACATCATCAGCCATGTGAAGGTTAATTTTAAGTATTAAGTTGACCTGGCCACAGGGTGCCCGGATGACACATTATTTCTGGGTATGCACGTGTGGGTGTTTCTGGATGAGTAGGCATTTGAATTGGCGGGTTTAGTGAGGTAGATTGCCTTCCCCAATGTATCAGCCAATCTATTGGACAGAAAAGAACAAACAGACAGAAGAAGGAGGAATTCACCAGATGCTTCCTGCCTGTTTGAGCTGGGATGCTTCTCTTTTGCTGCCCTTGGACTGGGATTTACACCTTTAGCTCTCCTGGTCCTCAGGCCTTGAGGTTGGGACTGAGACTACAGGTACTCCTGGCTTTCCCACATCTCCACCTGACAGAGAGCAGCCCAGGGGACTTCTCAGCCTCCAAAATCACATGGGGTCAATTCCTCACAATCAGTCAATCTCTCTCTCTCTCTATCTATATATGTATCTCTATATAGACATCTATATCTATCTATATTTATAACTATATCATCTCCTACTGGTTCTGTTTCTCTGGAGAACCCTGACTAATACAAACAACAATCAAAACCATATGCCCTAGATAGTTTGGCTCAGTGGATAGAGTGTCGGCCTGCAGCCCAAAGGGTCCTGGGCTCTATTCCGGTCAAAAGCACATACCTTGGTTGCAGACTCCTCCACAGCCTGGGTCCTGGTCAGCATCCCTGCAGGAGGCAACCAATCGATGTGTTTCTCTCACATCAATGTTTCTCTCTGACTTTCCCTCTCTTTAACAATCAATGGAAAAATATCCTTAGGTGAGGATTAACAACAATAACAACAAAAGAACAAAACACATTGATTTTGTACTTCCTACTGTAATGCAGTTTGTACATATGAAAAATTCTTCATGGTGCAAGAGGCAAATGGAAAACTTCCCCTGGGAAAACCCTTTGGCCTATGGGAGAGGGTCAATAAGAAAAAGACATCCTCAGGTCTGAGAGAAGAAGGCACAATTTATTTAGTCAAATTATTTTACAACAGAGTCTTCATGGACAGTTGTCAGCTTAACAGTTCATATAGTTTAAAAAAGTCAACGATTACCTGCAAAATTATATATATTTTAATATCTAAAAAATATATTGTATATATAGGGCAGAAAAATCCCTTGTGCCCACAAGGGAATGTTTGCTTGTTCCTTTCAAAGTTGAGGTGACTGCAGGGTAGATGGTTATGTACAAACATTTCAAAGCATCAAGATTTCAACGGCCATTCTTGGGTAACGTGTGCACACCTGTTAAATAACTACCACCAGTGCTTCTCTTTTAATAAGTCAGTGACTTAAAAGTCTGCTTCCTTTTCAGCAATAGTCACATTATGCTTTTTTCTAAAAAACAACAACACACCAGCTATAAAAACGTACAAACAGGCCAAATGTACAGATTGACAAAAGATGTACAAATTACATTTAAAAAAATAACACAGACTGATTTGATAGTAAAATTGCATTTGTGACCGAGGTCAACTCGTTTACTTATTCTTTTTAATTTTTTTAATTATTTATTTTTAATACTGTGAGATATAGGAAAATAACTCTGCATAATTTATACAGTAAGTTGCCATCTGATTGGGTGACCCTGGACTGACGGTCTGACAAGCGCACAGCGCCTGCGGATCTGTTTGTGTTTAGAAATCCCTAAGACTTTTCAAAGTTCGGGGACTCACTGTCACTATCTAAAAAAAAAAAAATAGTCATTTAGTTTTCTGTCTTTCAGGAATGTCTGCGCTTGCATGAACATTTCTTAGTTAATATCTTGACTATTTCTAGAGAAAATGGTCAGCCTAGTACATATTGCCCATTGAGAGGAATTCTCCAATGCCCATGGCTTCTTAAATACACACATATCTTCTTCCTTTTAAGTTCCAGTTGGGTGAAAACTTCACTGGCCTTACAACCAATGTTCCAGTTGCTATTCACTGAGTTCGGTCTCCCTAAAACAAGGTTATAAGCTTCCTGCCTCTATTTTCACTAAGTCTCAAACCAGAGCCTAACTGGTTAAGTCCACGAATCCTTAGCATAGTGAACCCTACGAGGTCCATGATAAGACCCGTGTGTGGATAAGAAACTGCTTTGGTCATACAAATAATAAAGACAATTTACAGTTTCTTTCATAGAACCATGATACAACCATTCCAGTAATCTAAATATTCCATTCAGAAGATGATAGGAGATTGAGAATACACATTAGCCTACTGGCCCATGGAATTACACATCTCTTTGTTCAAGGTAGAGGAAGCAACATTAAAAAAAAGGATTTTTTTAAAAGAACAAATGCAAAGGTTCTATCCAACAAGAAAGAACATCCAGTTTTGTTTTCTCTTCAAGGCCACGTATGTCCTTTAGAGTCCAAAGTATTCCAGGGAGTGAGAGGGATGGGCTTCAGCTAGAAGACCACCGATGATTAAGCTTCTAGTAGTAGCTGCCTAAGTGTGAGGGCACGTGGGTGTTAGGATGGCGGGGAACATTGGGGTTGGGGTAGATTCCGCCCGTGGGGGAGGTCCAGTATTGTGAGGCCGCTCCAAAGAAGCTGGAGGAAGTGACGGGCATGGAGGACGGGTGGGGCGGGACAAAGTTCACCTTCTGTTGATGGGCGTGGTAGGAAGGCATGTAGGAGATATCAGAAGGGTACTTGTACATGGACGACTCAGTTGGATGTGGCTGCAGTGCCTGGGCAATGCCATGGAAGTCAAATTTGTAGGCATACCTTTTGCCATGCACCTTGGTCATAATGTTTTTGTCATAGTAGTATCGGAGGGCCCGGCTCAGCTTGTCATAATTCATGTTGGGCTTGCTTTTCCGCTCCCCCCAGCGCCTGGCCACCTCGTCGGGGTCCGTCATTTTGAACTCGCCGTTGGTCCCCTCCCAGGTGATGCAGCTGGCGTTGGCACTGTCGGAGAGTAGCTCCAGGAGGAATTGCCACAGCTGGATCTGCCCGCTTCCTGTAGGTGGTGAGAGGAACGGGAAAACAGGACATTTCAGAATCCAATCCCCTAAATGCAAGCACTCCCACACCCTTTGTAAAACAAAACAAAACAAAACAAAACAAAACAAAACAAAACAAAACAAAACAAAACGAGTCTGTATTTTCTTTTACATTCAGAATCAACTTGGCAGCCCCTCCTTTTCATTGTTGATTTGCTTTATCATTTGCTGCTGAGATGGGCATATAAGGATAGTTAGATCTTAAAACAATTCACCCCAAGGCCTGGTGAAATGCACTGTGGGTAATGAGGTGCCGGATGGCCCAGAGCTAGCTGTGTGATTTGTGGCAAACCACAGCCACTCCTTTGGGCAAGAGTTTGGAATTTCTTCTTCTGTAGAGGCCTGAATCGCTGGCCAGCTCTCCTATTTAGTGATGGAGTGGTTCTCCTGTCAGCAGAAGAGTCTGGGCCAGGAGGCTGCTGTCAGTCACAGGGAGAAGGTGTGGCACAGGCTTCAAGCTGACAGGATGCTCCTTAGCAGGGCACTAGCGCCCTAGCTCCCAGGCTAAGTTCTACAGAGAAGAACCTGGGCCAAGAGAAAAGTAACAGGAGAAGGAGCTGCCTGGCTTCTTTTTCCCTGGGCAGAAAGGGCAGGCACCGAACAGTGGGCCTGGAGACACCGCAGGGTCAGTGCACACAGCTGGGAGGATGCGGGCCTCACTCCTGCACTGGGCCAGCCTATCAGCTCACATGCTCGGCGGTCTTGATTTAGAACTCACTTTAGAGTTATTCTTTTTATAATAAACCCTTAAAATACATTGTGAAGTTTACTTCATCTACAACTTTTTAGGGACACACCTCTTCTGTAAGGCCAGAGAGCTTGCAATGCTTTCTAAAATCAAGAATAAAACACC